TGTGTGTGTGTGTGTGTGTGTGTGTGTGTGTCTCAATAGTTCATTCCTTTTTATTGGTGAGTAGTACCATAGCTTGTTTCACCACTCACCTGTGTAGGACATCTGGGTTGTTTTCAATAGTTTGGAGCTATTATGAATAAAGTATCTATGGACATTTATGTACAGGTTTTTGTGTGAACATACATTTTCATTTTTCTGGGACAAATACCCACTAGTGCAATTGTTGAATCATGTGATAGTTGCATGTTTCATTTTTAAAAATTATTGACAAACTACAATTTATTTTCCAAACTAGTACTATGTATTTTCCAAAGTAGCTGTGCCATTATATCCTCACCAATAATGTATTAATTCATCCAGTTTCTGTACATCCTTGTCAGCATTTGGTGTTGTCGGTATTTTTTATATTAGCTGTTCTGAAGGTGTAGTGATATCTCATTGGGGTTTTAATTTGCATTTTCCTAATGGTTCATGATATTTTCTTGTGCTTATTTGCCATCTATATATCCTCTTCATCAAAATGTCTGTTCATGTCTTTTGCCCATATTCTAATTGGATTGTTTATATTTTACTATTGAGTTTTGAGAGTTCTTTATATATTCTAGTTAGTTGTCCTTTGTAAATACGTGGTTTGCAAATATTTTCTCCCCGTCTGTAGCTTTCCTGTGCATCCTCCTACAGAATTTCCACAGGGCAAAAGTTCTTAATTTTGATAAAGTCTAATTTATGTTTTTCCTTTTTTTAAATATATTTTATTGATTTTTTACAGAGAGGAAGGAAGATAGATAGAGAGTTAGAAACATCGATGAGAGAGAAACATCGATCAGCTGCCTCCGGCACATCTCCTACTGGGGATGTGCCCGCAACCCAGGTACATGCCCTTGACCGGAATCGAACCTGGGACCTTTTAGTCTGCAGGCCAACGCTCTATCCACCGAGCCAAACCGGTTTCGGCTATCTGTTTTTCTTTTTATGGGTACTGGTTTTGGTGTAAAGTCTAAGAATTGCTTGCCTAGCTGTAGCAAATATCTTGTACTATGTTTTTTTCTATAATATTTTATAGTTTTACATTCTGCATTTAAGTTTGTGATCCAGCACCAGTTCTTTAAAGGGCTATCCTTCTTCTTTTGAATTGTTTTTGCACTTTTGTAAAAAATATTTTGGGCATATTTATGGGTCAATTTCTGGGTTCTCTATTATGTTCCATTGATCTATGTGTCTATCTTCCTGCCAACCACACTGTTCTGATTATGGTAATTATGTAGTAAGCATTAATTTAGGTAGAGTTCTTCCTCCCACTTCCTTCTTCTTTTCCCAGAATGTTTTAGCTATTCTAGTTCATTTATTTTTTTCATATATACTATATCAAAAAAAAATTTTACTGGGATTTTAATAGGAATTGCATTAAAACTGTATATCATTGGTGAATACTGACATTTTATCTATGTTGAATTTTTCAATCCATGGGCATGGCATGTCTCTCCATTTATGTGTATCTTGTTTGATTTTTTTCATCAGTGTTGTATAATTTTCAGCATACAAACCCCACAAATGTTTTGTTGGATTTGCACATAAGCATTTTAGAAATTATGAATGGTATTGTATTTTTAATTTCAGTGTTCATATCTTCATTGCTAGTATATAGAAATGTGAATGGCTTGCATGTTTATTTTGCATCCTGCCACTTTGCTGAACTCACTTATTCATTCTAAGAGTATTTTGTAGGATTTTTTACATAGATAATCATGTCATCTGCAAATAGAGACAGTTTTATTTTTTTTTATTTTCGAGCTCTGTGCCTTTTATATCTTTTACTTTTCTTATGACACTGGCTGGAACTTCCAGTACTATGTTGAATAAGAATAGTAATAGTAAACATTCTTACTTCCTTCCTGATTTTAAGGCAAAAGCAGTCAGGTTTTCATCATTAATATAATGTTAGCTGTAGTTTTTTGCTGGATGCTTTTTATCAAGTTGAGGAAGTTCCCCTGTATTCTTAGTTCTGAGATTTTTCTTTTACTATGAATGTGTATTGAATTTTGACAAAGGCTTTTATGCATCAATTGATATGATCATATGATTTTTTTATTTTTAGCCTGTTATTATGTAGATTACATTGATTAATTTTTGCATTTGATCAAGCATTGCATCCACAGAATAAGCCCTACTTAGTCACAGTGTATAATTCTTTTTGTATATTGGAAAAGTTATTTTCTAAGATATTGTTAAAGACTTTTGTATCTATATTTATGAGAAATATAACGTTTGGTACTGTCTTTGTCTGATTTGGTCCCAGAGTAATAATAGTTTAATAAAATGAACTCAGAAATTTCCCTCTTCTATTTTCTGGAAGAGATCGTATAGTATTGGTGTTAACTCTTTTTTAAACATTTGGTAGGATTTTCCAATGAAACCATTTGGACCTAGAGATTTCTATTTAGGGAGTTTTTCAATTGTAGATTGAATTCCTTTAATGGTTACAGGACTATTCAAATTATTTATTTCTTATTGGGTGAGTTGTACAGTTTGCACTTTTTGAGGATTTGAGCCACTTCATATAAGTTGTCAAGTTTACGTGTGTAGAGTTTTCATAGCATTTCCTTATTATCCTTTTGGTGTCTGCAGAGGGTGTTGTGATAGACCCTGTTTAATTCCTAATATTGGTAATTTGTGTCTTCACTCTTTTTCATTTATCATTCTTGCTAGAGGTTTATCAATTTTATTGATTTTTTAAAAAAGAAAGCAGCTTTCTGCTTCATTGATTTTTCTGTTATTTTTCGGTTGCCAATTTCATTGATTTTTCTTATTATTATTTTCTTATTTCTTCTTGCTTTTTGCTCTTTCTTTTTTTCTAGGTTCTTAAGCTGGGTATTTATATTATTGATTTGAGATTTTTTTTCTTTTCTAACATTTCATGCTATAAATGTCTCTCAGTTTTTTCTGGGTCTTACATATTTTGATATGTATTCAGTTCAAAGTATTTTTTTTAATTTCCCTTGAGACTTCCTCTTTAAGACATAGATTATTTAGAAGTGTGTTTTATTTCCAAATGTTTGGAGATTTTCCTGTTATCTTACAGATATTGATTTCTAGTTTGGATGCTTTATGATTGGAGAACATACTCTGTGTCATTTTAATTCTTGTAAGTTAATTTAGGTTTGTTTTATGGATAGATATGATCTATCTTGGGATATGATTCATGAGCACTGGAAAATATGTATTCTTCTGTTGTTGTATAAGATGTTGTATAAAAATGTATTAGATCCTATTGGTTGGTAGTGGTGTTGAGTCCTATATCCTTCCTGATTTCCTGTGTAGATGTTCTATCAATTGTTGAGTGAAGGGTTTTATAGTCTCTAATTATCATTGTGGATTTTTCTATTTCTCCTTTCAGTTGTGTCATTTTATTGCTTCACAGATTTTGCAGCTATGTCATTAGGTGCATACACATTTAAGATTTCTATGGTGCTTGGGGAGTTGACTCTTTTGTTGTTATCTAATACCCCCTCTGTTTCTGGTAATTTTATTTGCTCTGAAGTTTATCTAATGTATTAATATAGTCACTTCTGATTTATTTTGATTATTTGCATTATATATATTTTCATTGTATTTAAAGTTAGTTTCTTATAGACACCATATAGTTGTGCTTTGATTTTTAATCCACTGTGCAAATTTCTTTTTTTTAATTGCTGTATTTAGACCAGTTACATTTAATGTAATTATTGGTATATTAAGACTTAGGTCTATCATTTAATAATTTTGTCTTCTATTTGTTCTCCATGTTTATCATCTTTGTTTTATTTTTCCTGCTTTCCTATGAGTTACTTGAACAATTTTTTAGAATTCAATTTTGAGTTATCTATAGTCTTTTTTAGTGTATCACTGTATAGCTATTATATTAGTTACTCTAAGTATAGTAGTTACTCTAGGTATTACTATAGTTAGATATAGATAGATATAGATATAGATATAGATATAGATATAGATATAGATATAGATATATATGTTATCACAGTCTACTAAACGTTTTACCAGTTCTATTGAAGTTCAAAACCTTACCTTCCTTTACCCTCATTAGCTTAAAAATTTTATCTGCATGTTCATCAGACAGTGTTAAATTTTTGCTGCAATCATGAAACATAATTTAGAAGACTTAAGAGAAGGAAAATGTATTTCCTCATATTTTACTCTTTCTGTTGTTCTTCCTTCCTTCCTGATATTCAAAGACTCTTTTTCATTTCCTTTCTGTTTGAAGAACTTCCTTTGGCCATTCTTTTAAGGTACATCTGCTGGTGACAAATTCTCTTAGTGTTTCTTCATCTGAGAATTTCTCCATTCTTAAAGAATATTTTTACTGCATATAAAACTCTGGTTTGACAGTTCTTTTTTCTTTCAGCACTTGAAAAATGGTGTTCTGCTTTAGGGTGGCCTCTATGGTTTCTAATGAGAAATCTGCTATTATTTTATTTGTTTCTACCTATAGAAAATGTATTGTTGGTTTTATTTTCTCCCTCTGCGTTCACAGTTTATTTTTGGCTTTAGTTTTCAGAAGTTTGATTATTATACAACTTGGTGTGAATTTCTTGGACTTTTCCTATTTGGGGTTTGCTCAGTTTCTAGAATCTGTCAGTTTGTAAATTTTACCAAATCTGTAGAATTTTCAGCCATTATTTATTTGAGAAGTTTTACAGTTGCATCCTCTTTCTATTCTTCTGGGCACTCTGATGAACTAGAGGTTAGATCTTTTGTTATAAACCCACAGTTCTTTCAGGTTCTGTTGATGTTTTTCAGTCTATTTTTTCGCCTTTGTTCAGATTGGGTAATTTTTATTGTTCTTTCGTCAAGTTCCCTGGTTCTGTCCTCTATCTTCTTCATTCTGCTATTGAGTCCATCCATTGATTTGTTGTTGTTTTTTAATTTGGGTTATTGTATTTTCAGTTCTACAGTTTTCATTTTGATTCTTCTTTACATCTTCTCTTTCTTTTCTGAGACTTCCTAACTCTTTGCTGAGACTTGCTGCCTTTTCATTTGTTTCAATCATGTTTGTAATTGCTCACTGAAGCATTTTATATGGCTGCTTTTAGTCTTTGTCATATTCTAGCATCTCTTGTATGTCAGTGTTGGCATCTATTGTTTTATGTCATTCAAATAGAGATTTTCCTGGTTCTTTGTATGATGAGCTATGTTTTTATTATTGAGACCTGGGCACTTATGTTATGATACTCTGGCTCTTATTTAAACCTTTAGCTGGTTTCTTCTGACACTGCTCTGGCAGGGAAATTAGGAGCATTACTTTGTTTCTGCCAGGTGAGTACAGAAGTCCAGGTTTCCCACTCAGCCTCTATTGTCATGCTATGGGAGTTAAAACTCTCCATATAGCCTTCACGGACACCTGGGATGATTGTCTTGTTACCAGTGGGTGATGGTGAAAGTCCTGACTCTTCACTAGGCCTCTTCTGACATCATCCCAATAGGGAATATGAGAAGGAGAGGTACCTCATTACTGCTAGGTGGGGATGGGGATCCAGGCTTCCACATGGTCCCTACCAACACTGCAAGGGGAGTATGTTTGTTACCATCTAGCAGGAATGAAAGACATAGCTCCATATTCAGCCTCTTGTGATATCACCCTGGTGAAAGGAGAACCTTGTTATAGCCATACAATGCTGTAAGTGTAGACTACGGTTCTTTCTGTGGTGTTTGGCTTGATGAAAGTGGTTATTTTCTAAAAGTTATATCTTGCTGGCCTATCCCTTTCCTGGTACTTTGGCTGGAGAGAGCAGGCTTTTGTTTGGGCTTCTTTGGTCTACACCTGTTTGTATTCATGGTTGTCAATGTCTTCAGCTCCAATTCTGTAACATATGAGGACAAAGATAAATTCAATGAATTCAGTCTGCCTTCCTTACTCCACCATTCAGAGTATTCTTAAGTTTGTTTCATATATAATGTCCAGGGTTTTTAATTGTACCTAGTGGGAGAAATAGAGAAAAGTATATCTACTCCACCATCCTGAAAGTGGAAGTTCCCCAGGAAGATCTTACATAAAGGTAGAGTAACAACTGTTTGGAGGGAGGACAGGTGAATAATGATGATAATCTCCATAAACTCCAGTAAAATAAACGCCATCTGCCTAAAAGAGCTTTAGAAAATAGAGCTTCACAGGAAAGCTAGATTGCAATTACCACTAGATGATGGAGGAGTGGCAGTGCACAGGCTACTTGTTATGGAAGAGGGCATCAGAGTTTCAGTGGACACCGTGTAAATGATTGGGAAGTACAGGAAGAGCAAGGGAGCTGAAAAGCTGAGAAAAAATTCCTTGGCTGAGAGTATGAGAGAGATATGACCTGTGGGCTTTTATATGAGAAGTGACACAGGTTGACATACAAGACCAACTGCCTTAGCAGTCACAGATAAATTTGGTGTGACATCAGAATACAATCACAGTACACTCTTGGCTTTTTCTTGTGTCTGGTAAATGGCTCTTGCTACAATGAGGTGCAGATAGGTAGGAACAGAAATGGTACCTGCAACATTTGGGCTTCATTTTCTCATAGGCACCACTTGCACAGGTACAAATAATCTGAAATGAAAGGTTTAATTTCCAAAATGTTCTGGAAGAGTGATGGACCACTCCACGCAATCCCCACCCTGTAGTTTCTCATTCTAATAGGGTTCTCCAGCAAATCAGTATTAATCCTTTATGTCTAGGCATTGTTTGGTATAAATTTTGGAAGATTTGAATATTGAAGTTGTCACTTTAAAATAAATTGTTGTTGCTCCTGCAACAACAACAACAACAACAATTTTATTGAGGGCTTATTAGATGCCATGTACTCTTCTAAGCACTTGACATGTTGTGTCATTTAATCCTCTCAAGTACGGTATAAGGTAGATACTAATTATTGTATTAGCTCCATTTTATGCATGAGAAAACTGGGGACATGGCAAAGGACTTAGAAATATGTTCAAAACCTCGATTGAATTAAAAACTGGCATAGTCATCTTCTCTGTTACCACATTCATTATATGAGACTCACAAAGAATGTTTTCCAGTGCTTTCCCAGATAATTGCTACAATACAGCTCTTGTATTTATGTCAGTTGTTGGAATAAAAAGTAATGGGTACTAATCTCATTTGTTTCATCCCTGGCAAATCACTTGATCCATTATCCCTATTTTTTCTTCTTTAAAATTGGGGCATTCATACCAGGGCACCACCCCTCTAGCTACAGACAACAAAAGTAATAAGATTTTATTGCAAAACATTTTCAAAAAATGAATTTTTACTAAATTATTAGTCAACCCATAGGGAGCTTGGTGGTAGCTAAAGAAGGAGAAAGGCAGGGAATGGGAGAAAAACCAGAGGAAAAGAAGGGTTGCCTAGTGAGGTGAAACCCAGGAGAACAAAGGTGCAGGGACATTTTGAGAAGCCAGAGGTTTGTTTTGACCTGTACCCAACCCCATGTTGGCTCACTTTGGGGCCTCACAGATGACTACATCAATGTTAAATAATGACTTGAGTCGTCAAAAGAGCTTCCCTGGACTGTTTTCCAAGTCTGACTTGTCTTTCCTCTCCTTTCATCTACCTTTCCAAAAGTTCCCAAAAGATGGTTTTAAGGTTGGCTCATATTGATTTTGCTTCATGCAAAAATGTGCCACCCTGACCGGTTTGGCTCAGTGGATGGAGCGTCGGTCTGCGGACTGAAGGGTCCTGGGTTCAACTCCAGTCAAGGGCATGTGCCTTGGTTGCGGGCGCATCCCCATTGGGGGGTGTGCAGGAGGCGGCTGATCGATGTTTCTATCTCATCGATGTTTCTAACTCTCTATCCCTTTCCCTTCCTCTCTGTGAAAAATCAATAAAATATATTTTTAAAAAAATATGCCAGAGCATCTCAGAGCAGAGTTCCTGGCTGATGCTAGTGATTGGTGTGTGTGTATGTGTGTGTGTGTGTGTGTGTGTGTGTGTGTGTGTGTGTCCTCAGAGTACAATTCTCTTGCCTGATGTAGAATCAGTGTCACATAGCATTTATCTTCACAGAAGCAAAAAAAGAAGAAAATTTCAATGTGATCTTATTATAAACCATCTTTAAACATTGAAAATTCCCCCTTAGTGATGCACTTCCAGGGTGGGGCAAATTTGAATCTTTTTTGAGTCAAGACTATAAACAGAAAATTCCTCCTCTTGGGTTGAATGCCATCATGGATCAACTTACTGCTTAAAAATCTGCAGATTCTCCCATTAAATTGACACAGATTCCAAGAATACTTGAGGATTGAGGATTTTCATGCTGTCACCTTTTAGGAATACTTGAATAATGGAAGACCAGATCCCAAATTCCATTTGTTTGCCTCTGTCTTCTTTTCCAAGAGGAATGCTGGCCTAAGCTTCTCATCAAAATTTAGCCCCCCAAGAAGCACTTTTTTCCTTACCATTATCTGGGGATAAATGGTATATAAAATAGACTTTTAAACAATTTAAATAAATTAATAAGCTCGTACATGTCCTTTTTGTGTTCACCTCTTTCCTTCCTCTGCTCCACACCAAAGAATATATTGCAAACATATTAAAGTCCTAAAATAAGGTTTTCATTATGTCATGTCACTACTCAAACATATTCAATGACTCCCAGTTGAATTGAATTTGTTCTATACAATGAATCCCAGTTAAAATCCCAGGATAAATTCCAAAATTTTCAGACAGATTTTTAGATTTTTTTCTCCCACTCTTCTGTTACATACTCCCCTCACTTCAGAATCCTCCTAAACATTTCTTCCACTTTTCCCGACCTTATTCCTCTTAACACCTCCTCATCTTAGCCCTTGACATTGCTTTCCCTTCTATATGTCTAAAATCCTTCAGAGAGGCGGTTCTCAAAAGTGTGGTCCCTGGACCAGCAGCATCAGCATCACCTGGGAACTTGTTAGAAATGCAAATGCTCAGGTTGTACCATAGACCTACTGAATCTGAATCTCTGGGGGACCCTGCAATCTCATTTTAACAGTCTAGTTCTTATGTATATTCAAGTTTAAGAATAGTTTTTTGTTCAGATCTCACCTCTTCCTGGATACTTACCTGATCACCATGGCTTTGATCTCAGCTCTCCATGTTTGTCTGCTTCATTTGGCAATTGCCATATGCAGCTTTGTCTAGGGTTAACTACCTTTTAAGGAAGTCAGGGATGATTTCCCTTCCTTCTTCACCCTCTCTCTTTCTAATCTAATACAGGCCCTAGCACAGACACTCAATCAGCAATTGTTGATTGAGGTTAGAAGGCTGAGCATAGTTCATACGTTTTGGTAATACCTTTCTAGCTTTGAAGTCTGCAAGAAAGACCTAAACTTCCAAAACTTATTCTTTGGTTCCTCTGGCATGAACAGAATACTAGGTCAGATGTCTCATGACCCTGACTCTTCTAGAACTTCTTGAAGCTTAATAATCTTGAGACGATATAAATGATTGATACAGACGGTTGTGTTAACTACCAATGGTTAAAATGGATCCAGAAAACTTGTTGGCCCAATTTTGGCTACCTAGGACAAAAGGTGGGTCTGTTTTGCAGGGGACTCAAAAAGGTATATAATAACATATTTTAAATGCTCTCATTTATAATTTCTATTTTAAGTAATCTGATTAGAATTCATTATTTTATGTAATATGGCTGATACTAAGTTACTACTAGGGTGGGAAGATCGTAAGCTCTTGCCATTTTTCCTTTACTTTTGTGAGCTTGAGTTAATAGTAGAATCTTGATCTATGTTTTCTTTGTAGAGATTTTTAAAGTTACTTGCCAATTTTGAAAGTTATTAATTAAAACTGGATAACATAACTTATAATGTCATCTACCCAGGAACATGTAAACTGTAATACTTTGCAATGTGCTGAAAGGAATGATCACATGAGGGCTCTGATGTCAACTATTCCCAGTATGGAACATTCACTCCTCCAGGATATCTCAGAAAACATATAGGATGTATGAACTTCTCATACAGATTAAGGGAGGGCATTGGTGACAATCTATCTATTAAGTAGCAATAAAACTGAACATATCTATCTGTTCATTTTAACATTTGATCCATACACCTCAATGTATTATCTCACTCACTCCTGGGTGTGATCAACGTATTTTGAAAACCACTGCTCTACAGAATCTAAGTCCATGTCTAAACAGTCAAAGTCAAGTGGAGGATTGGGAACAATAAAGAATACACCATCTCACAGAGAATCACTTACCATTGGGGCAGAGGGGGTGTGGTAGTGTTGGCAATATTTCTCTGAATTGATGTTCATGAGTCCTTGAGTTCTTGAGTTCCGTGTCTGAAGGAAGAAAGTAGTTACAGGCATGTAGTGTGCAGGCAGAGAAGGGTGAATAAATTGGAAATGAGGAAAAGAAAGTAGAAAGCAGGATTTCTAAAAATTGACTCTGGCCCTAGCCTGTTTGGCTCAGTGGACAGACCTGTGGACTGACAGGTTGGGGGTTTGATTCTGGTCAAGGGCATGTACCTCGGTTGCCGGCGACCGGGGCATGTATGGGACACAACCAATCGATGTGTCTCTCTCACATCTATGTTTCTCTCCGTGTGTCTCTATCCATCACTTCCACTCTCTCTGAAAAAGTAAAATTAAAAATTAAAATTGACTCTGAAAAAGCCAGTGATATAGATATCATTATATAGAGAGATCTAATAAAAGACTCAAACACATTTAATGAGAAAGTGATCAACTTCTATCTGAAATCCTGTATATACTATTAGGAACAAAGTTTTAGCTTATATGGGAGTGACCATAGGCAAATGAAAATCAAAGAAAAGTGACATATAAGAAATTGTTATGCCATAAAAGAATAAAAGGAAAGAAAATTTAAAAAATAAAATAAAAGATTAAAAAAAGAGAAAATATATCTTTTGACTATGCTTCTTCAAGTGCATAAAATGTAAGCTTTACATGCTTTTGCTTCTTCATGTTCTACCCCACACTTTTGAGTCTTCTTTTATTAACATAAATTGGACCTTATGTGATTCATTTTGCATTCTTTCTCCAGCATCAAATATTAGTTGTTATATATGCTTTTTGATTTGCAAGTATGTAAGAATGATTTAAGCCAGTGCTACCTTTCACTGGTTTCGGTGTTCAAAGCCAACCCTTTACTCCCATAACTACCTCATTCTCTTATCTCAAAGCTATTTCTAGAATACCAACTTCTTCAACGTTTTAATAAAAATAAAATTTTGATATATGTTGTTGATTATGTAAAAAATAAATTGTTATGAATAAATTCTAGAAGACAGCAGCTTAAAGAAAGATATAAAAAAGGGTTTTACAAACTTATACAAATGCCAATAATAATTTAATACTCTCCCTCTAGGATTAAGCACTTTCTTGGTTATTATCATGAAATGAATTCATGAACATTACTTAAACCCCCTCCAAACAGGATGATTAAGAGACAATTAATAGCAGACATTTAATACTAGTCAAATTTAGTAAACATTTACTTCTTTGAAACTTTTTGTTTATTTGCCAGATAGGCAAAAGCTACTTGACTTTTTTAGTATATCTTCCAGCAAATGTTGTGTTTGGAGTTTGAAAGCAGCATCCTGGGAAACAGTGTGCTGTTACCATGGTCTTGGAATGTCATAATCCTGAATTCTGCAACCGTCCTACAGCCAAATGCCAAAGCAATTTTGGGCAAGCAGTCTAATGCTTCAGATCCTCTGGTTTCTAATCTCATCATAAAACAAATGTAATAATAACCTCTCTCAGCTTCTTAACACTTTTTCTACCCTTGGCTTCAAGGCCCTTCTTAACAATCTTTCTAATCTCTCCTTTCACTTTGTTCACTCTCAGTGGCATAGCTAGTATATTTGACACCTGGAGCAGATCATTTTTTAAAATGTACTTTATTTCTATGCCAAAATTATTTTTCATATCAATCATACAATAATTGCAATGATCATTTTTTCAATTATTATTTAGTTTTAAAGAGTTAAACATTTTAAAGAAATTTTTGTGTGGACAAGATGGTTTAGACCCATTTTCCCTGCTCCCCCCTGCTAAGCACAACTGTGAACTCTGGAAAGAACTTAAGAGGCCACCAAGGGAGTAATCTGAAAGGTAGGGAGAGGAAGGCAAGCTAGTTTAGGATCCCAGGACAGAAAGAATGACACAGCAGCAGGATGTCTTATATGCCCACCCCCCACCAAACAAAGAAGGCAACCCAGGCCTTGCAATCCCAGACCCCCAACTTAACAACACAGGTCTGTCCAGGTAGGCTCATTCCTCTACCAGATCAAGCAGTAGGCCCTCTGATAACACCAGGTGAGCCTGACAACACTGGCAAGGGGAATGGATTGGCTAAAGGAAGTACTTTCCTCCCTTGCCAGACCTAAGACTCCCTTGCTGGAAGACACAGAGTGGCATATTGGCACTGGCAAGAGAGATTCTACCACACCCAAGAAGCTATCTTGCCTAGGAAACAATCTTCATCTCTATGGGCCAGAGACATCAACTGGCCCTGCCTAGGGCAACCCCTTAGGCAGCACCACCAGAGACCAGTGAGAGTCCCAACAGCACCAGATAAACCAAGCACACCCAAAAATACTGCAAAGGCTCTGAAAAGTAAGTTATCATTCAAGCCATACTCCATAAAAGTAGGTTAGGACCTGCATACTAAACCTAAACAGGTGACTACCTGATAAAACAAAATACTTAAATCAGACCTAGAGTCTCACAGCATAATAGTACAAATATCCAGGATAAAATTGCAAAATCAAGAGCCAGGAAAATCACAACTTCAATGAAAAAAGACAATTAACTGATGCCAACACAGTGATGAATCAGATGTTGGAGTTATCTGACAAGGACTTTAAAGTAACCATAACAAAAAAAAACTTCAACAAGCAATAGCAAATTCTCTTGAAATAAATGAAAACATAGAAAATCTCAGAAAATAAAATGAGCTATGAAAAAGGATAAAATGGAAATCTTCTAACCGAAAAATATAATACCCCAACTTTTAATTATTTTTATTGATTTTATAGAGGAAGGGAGAGGGAGAAAAAGAAATAATCAATGATGAGAGCGAATCATTAATCAGCTGCCTCTCGCACACCCCCTACTAGGGATTAAACCCACAACCGAGGCATGTGCCCTGTCCTGGAATGGAACTGTGACCTCCTGGCTCATAGGTTCATGCTCAACCACTGAGCCACACAGGCTGGGCTAACACCCCAAATTTTAAACCTGCTTAATGAACTCAATAGTTAAGCAACTTAATCAGCAGATAGAATCAATGAACTGTGATCATGTAAATAAAATGTATCCAATCAGAAAGAGACAGAAAATAGATCAGAAAAAAAATGAACAGATTCTTGGGGTCTTGTGGAACAATAAGAAAAAAATCATATCATTAGCGCAGCAGAAGAAGAGAAAAAGATTGAGGCTGAAAAAATATTAGAAGAAATAATGATGTAAAATACCCCAAATTTAGCAAAACACACACACACACACACACACACACACACACACAAGTACATGAATCTGAGCAAACCCCAAACAGGACAAATGCAAAGAAATTCATACCAGCACATCATAGTTACACCTCTGAAAACTAAAGGCAAAGATAAAATCTTGAAAGCAGCAAGAAAGAAATGATGCATTAATTATCAGGGAACATCAATTCTAATGACAGTGGATTTCTCATCTGAAACCACAGAGCACAAAAGGAAGTGGAACAATATTCTGCAAGTTCTGAAAGAACTGCCAACCCAGAGTATCCTTTAGGTGTAAAGGGGAATCAAGACATTCGCAGGTGAAGAAAAGTTATGAGAATTTTTTGCTATCAAACATACTCTTAAATATTGACTAAAGGAAGTTAGTTCTTCAAGCAGAAAGTAAGCTATAAAAAGAAGGAATCTTGAAGCATCAAGACAGAAGAATGGCTTGATTCTGGAATGCTGACAAGCACTGGTGAGGATGTGGTGCAACAGGAACTCTCATTCATTGCTGGTGGGCATGCAAAATGGCACATTTACTTTGGAACAGTATTTGGTGGTTTCTTATAAAACTAAACATACTTTACCATAGGATTCAGTAATCATAATCCTTGGTATTTACTTGCACATGGATGTTAATAGCAGCTTTATCCATAATTGCCAAAAACTTACAAGCAACCAAGATGCCCTTCAGTAACTGAATGGATAAATAATTGCACATGCAGACAATGGAATATTATTTAGCACTACAAAGACGTGACCTCTCAGGCCATGAAAAAACATAGAACAAACTTAAGTGCATGTTACTAAGTGAAAGAAGCCAATCACTTCATGATTCCAATTATATAATATCCTGGAAAAGGCAAAACTATGGAGATAGTAAAAAGATCAGTGGTTGCCAAAAATTGGATGTCAGAGAAGGGATGAGTAGGTGAAGCACAGAGGATTTTTAGGGCAGTGAAAATACTCTGTATGATATTACAATGATGGATACGTGTCATTATACATTTGTCAAAATTTGTCGAATATGCAACATCAAGAGTGAAACCTAAGGTAAACTACAGGCTTTGGGTAATTATGATGTGTTAATGTAGACACATCAACTGTAGCAAATGTAACACTTTGGTGATGCTGATCATGGTAGAGACTATGCATGTGTAGGGGCAAGGGGTAAATGGGAAATCTCTGTACCTTTCTCCAAATTGAACCTAAAACTGCTCTAAAAAATAAAGTCTTTTAAAAAAATAAACCAGTGCAATATATCTATCAACAGAGTAAAGAAGAAAATTTAAATAATCAATGTTAATTGATTCAGAAAATACATTTCACAAAATTCAACGCTCATTAATGATTTTAAAAAACTCTCAGATTTGTTCTTCATTCTTATGATATCTTTGGCTATTTTTGGTCTTTTGTAATTCCATATGAATTTGAGGATATTTTTCTATTTCTGTGAAAAATGCCATTGGCATTGGATTTGTAGATTACTTTAGGTGGTATAAACATTTTAACAACATTCATTCTGCCAATTCAAGAACATAAGATAGCTTTCCACTTATTGGTATCTTCAATTTCTTTTCATCATTGTCTTATAGTTTTCAGTATACAGATCATTCACCTCCTTGGTTAAATTTATTCCTGTGTTTTATTCTTTTTTATGCTATTGAAACTGGGATTTTTTTCTTATGTTTTCAGTTAGTTCAGCATTGGTGTATAGAAACACAACTGATTTTTGTATATTGATTTTGTATCTTGAAACTTCACTAAATTTGTTTATTAGTTCTAACAGTTGTTTTGTGGTGGGTGTTTACTTTTTTTTGGTGG